CCCCCCCCCCCCGAATGCACGCTGAACTGCGGGCTTTATTTTCTTGATTCTATCTCATCTTTCTTGAAGGAGGAAATTTCAGAATCGCGTCAACAAGATTCCGTCATTGGAACCCTTACCCAATCGGAAACACATGACATTTCCACTGTGAATCCAGGTTACTTCACGCTGGATCAACTGGAATGTCTTTTGAAAAAGGTAAATATCACTTTGTCCATGCATTTGAACGCTGAGTAAGGCGTTCTGAAGGTTCCAGAGGTATGTGGACGGACATCTTGCCCCATCTTTGGGGCTAAGTTCTGTTTTTATTTCCCACGTTGTGAAACAACGTTTCACCTATGNCAACGGACTGTATTTATTTACAATATTGAACGAATGACTGAGAGTCGCTGGATATAGATTTCACCAAAATGTAGTAAATACAATCGTTGAAGAGAAAGTAGAGCGATAATGCTCCATCCACTCACAAGTAACGCGCCTTGATATAATCATATGATCGACAAGCGTTTTAGTATGCCAGTGTTATTATCAATGCGTTAGTACTTCTGGAGAAATCAAGAATGGATTTTTTTCTCTGGTTATTATCCCTTTTAAAAATGGAATTCACATTGTCTCGTCTTTATGATGGCAAGGCAATCAAAATATATCCTGTCAACGGAACTCATTAGCTTTAGTAATTTTTAGTTGAAACGAAGCTAAACCCATGAATATGAGCTTAGCTACCAATCGCAATCTTCGTTCCTAAATGCAAGGGATCCTAAAGGAAATGAAAATAAATTAGCAAAAAGGGATCTATTTGCAAGTTAGAAAAGCAAATCACTGGATATACAAAGCTATTCTTACCCAATTATTCCCGAAAATCAAAATTCCACCTAACGTTGATCACCTAAAATACACGCAAATCCTTTTCCAACTAATCAATATGGATTGGATAATGCTTTATCACGATCTTTCCCTTTCAGTTTCAAGAACGTGCGCCTTCCGGATACATTGAGACGAAGTCATTTAACAACTTGATTCAACTGCTCATTAAATCGCGCCTGTTACAAATAGCCGGTCCAATTTCTTCTGATCAGCTGGAAGAAATGGGACACATATTAACCCGATTGTATCAGGCTAATTTTGAGAACGACAACATAACTAACCGAGCAGCGTCCATCCCCAAAACGAAGAATTCCGAATCGAATGCGGGCACTTTGTCCTCCTTCGTGGATGTGGTTAAAATGAAGGAGGAAGCTAGTTTCTATGTCGACTGGCGTCGTTTTCTACTCGCGGCCACTCAGTCCCATTTGGTCTTCAACCCGGAAGCAAGACCAATTCAGGCCAGTTTGATAAATTTAGCCAAACACCTGCATGAACTGGATCAACAAGATCATCAATCAACGAATATCCTTAACACCATGGTCACACGAGCTCAGTTTCAATTCTTACCTTTCCCGTGGTATCCATCCAATCTAGATGTAAGTCCAGCAGTTGAAGAATATAGCAATCTTTGCGTAGTGACGTTTCAACTGATACAAAACCGTGTCATGTAGAAACTTTTTCGAATCAGTTCAGCAAATTCCGCTTCAAATCACCTTCGATCAACACGGTTCATTTCAGACCATATCAAACAATCAACAAAGTGGTGAAAAGCGTTGCGACTGCTTTTATAGCCTAATTCAAGTAGTTTATCGTTCGATTACGTAATCAATCCTATTGTGCGATGAGCGGTTACGGATACCTATTTGATTTTTGTCTGTGTTATGTCCGACCGACACGAGCGCCTCTTGCTTAGCCCCCAACGATAATACGGGAAAGAGAACAAGGCTGGTTAACCGAAGTCAAAGCCTACTCTACTGTCACGATGCGGTACGCAGATATAAGCGAGTAAATTGGGCGTACGGGAACGACTTAGTGACGCACAAATCAGATTGCGTCCTTGACACTCCGATTTGTCGATCAGACGGCAGCTGTCTGATTCGTCGTGGTCATCCAATCCTAAATCGATTCGCCTTGGGCGGCGTGAGAGTCCTTGTGGTGTGACGGGTATACTTACGCGTGGATGGCATAAGATAACTGTCGCTTCTTCAGTTGTTGTCTCCAACTTACATCAAATCGGTGAATGACAATACACACAAATGACATCTTTAACCGATTGCTGTCGATCTATCAAACCGACACTGCTGGCTGGTCTGTTCCGATTTAAGATAGCTTTTTTACGGTGATTCACCCTTATATAGCATGGATGGGTGAACATGATCGATTATATATATGTACATATATACATGTATATATCATAGGCTTGCGAGCAAGCGTGGTGCTGGTGCAACAACAATAATAACGGAAGATTCATGCATGTTGGGATATAGAACAGAGAGACTTGGAATTCGAAATTACAATTAAGAAAACAGGAATAATAACGTCATTTTGACCATACGATTTATTTTAATATTTTGTGTTTGTGGGTTTGACTTTTGCTNAGGCACGGAGATTCAATAAACAGACCATGCAGCATTCTCCCCAACGACTTCTATTCTAAACCATAACTCTCAGTGTCTCCAACCGACGATAATACTCATCCCTTGGGTCCCAAACTGGAAGGTGGAATGCACCAAATAAAGTCAAAGCTAGCTCCTTCACATATCTGCTTCATTTTCTGGTCTGACAACTGCGACTTTTCTTCTAGCCTTGCCCAACATGAGCAAATAGGGCACAGAAAACTAGATGACCGTCAGGTAGTTGGAAAACTTTGCAAGATCAACGGAAGCGGTGTAAAGGAATATTATTATTCCTTTAATAATAGTAATAATAAAATAATAACAAAGCTATAGCAGTAATGAAAGTTTTCACCTAAAGCACAACTTGTTAATTCTGCACTGGAATAGCGAATGGGAATAATAGCGAGGGAGAACACTCTAAGGAAACGTTTCACTGTTTCACTGTTTCACTGTTACACGTTTCTTGGATAAGAGGCAGAATTGAATGTCAATATTTGACAGGCTTCTATAATTTCTTGTTATGGTGATTTAATACGCTTGACGGGATCTCGCGAACAAATTAAAGCGGGGGAGGGAACAGATCGGTGAGCCTCGCCTAAGTGAAATCCGTAGAAAAGGGATAAGTAGGCGACTGCTCGGTGCTAATAAATGGTCAAAGAACGAATGTTAAGAATGGATCAGTGCTAATTAGAATAGATTGGCGCTTTACACGATTCAAAGTGTCAGGGAAGAAGATACCGCCCCCATACACGACTATAATATTCTATAAAATGACATAACCAGTTCATGTGAAGAGCCAGACATTAAGTCGGAGTAAAACTCCGTTCAGCGGAAAAGATAGGAAATACTACTGAAGGTCAATATCACTTGTTTTGTATAAAAAATAAAGATTAGGCTAAAGGTTATTTTTATTGTTTTGGTTGTATCAGATTCTCGGGAATATGGTGCCCCTGTTTACGCTGCTCAGCAACGTCCTTCAGTGTATCAGACTATTGTTTATTATAATCAAGAAAACTTCAAAGAGAAACCCTAGTAAATGTTTTCATACCATGAGGCCAGGTCATAAATTGATCACCCTTCCAACTGCTATCAACCTTAGAAAACATCGTACACCAAGTAGGCCTTTTGAGTGAATCTCCTAAAAGGTGTCCAAAGTCCTGCAGTTCATAGAGGTCAGGCAATTAGCTGATGACGATAATCTAATACTTATTTCCTAACACGGGAACTTCTTATGAGGTTGTTTCATCAGATTCCTTCAATAGGCGTACACCATGTTGTTACAATAATATTTTTCTTTCACTCGCGCCTGTTTCGGTGTATCATGCAGTAGCACCGACGGGATTTTTACTACATACACTTCATTCCTATCAAAAAACGGATGTCACAGCGATGCCCAATGTGTCTCGACTTGACGAATATTAATTGGGACTTCTAACTACGGTTAGGGGAAAAATCGTCCGATGGGATAAGATCATACCGCGATGGAATATTACTTTGTTGATTTCAGGATATCCGATCCTTGGGGGGGGGGGATAACACAAGTTTATTTGGAGTCTAACTAGTTGACTTAAAAGGATAATATCTACCCTAAAGGGGCGTAACCTGAACTGCTATAAGGGAACTACTAAATGTCAATCAAGGCAATTATCATCATGTTTTGATGGCATTTTTCAGTAAGCCTTTTTTGTACTATCAATGAAATCATCTGAGAAACCCATTCATCTTTTATCTTCCCGTGTTCAGTACTATCGGAAACTGCAAAACTTTATCTTTTCCCTGTTTGTCGACCCCCCGGGCATGGAACCTCAACCACAAGAGTCATTTGATTCGAAGAACGACCATGAAACTGGTGATTATCATCCATCTGAAATACCCAAGTTGATCACTTCCGACTCGACAGGGTGCTTGACTTCAAATAGTCCATCTGTGTTGGAACAGCGTATTCGTTGTGCGGATGTGCTACTCTACCTAGCCACCATCAAGACACCAAATGGATATGTGGGCCTGCTACGCGCCATGGCTTCTCTGTTATTGCGTCATGTACCCCACGAGGCCATTCCGGAACACAATGAGGAGTGAGTTGACACCTCTGCGTAATTCCAAAATATAAGATGCATAAACCCCTGATTTGTTTAAAACATGCTGGCATCTTTTTCTGAGATTCTCGTTTAAGTATGTATGTATGATTGTACGACTTTTGTCGCTGTCGTTGTCGCTTTTGTTTTTAGCCCTAAGGACCGATGTTTGAGCCAAATTACCTCCAACCTCTTTCTGTGATAGGCAGTTTTGCTGTCATCCTGCTGAGTACCACGTCTATACCAGTGGGAACCGAACAAAGGCGATTTTTCATGCTGTATGTATCACAGAATGAGACAGAAAGAATGAGGATAGTTAAGTGAACGTGGTATTTGTTTCCATTGTGGTTTCAGCGAAGTTGATAATCTAATCCATCAGCCAGTAGGTTTATGCGTTTATTTCTCAAGCTTCTAAATAACGGAAGGTGGTCAATTTGGACGGGGCTTGATTCGGCGATCAAACTCATAACACCGGTAGTCTGTGGCAATATGGTCAAACATGAGCCTACTCAAACAGGCATTTCCTGTTTCTCTTTTCTTGGTGTACGTGCAGAACGATACAGAGACTGTTGTCTGAGATGTTTGTGACAATATTAGTTGTGCTGTTAGTCGAACATCCCACTGGACGATGGGTTTTCACCTAATGCGTGGCTATGAATATTCATACGAAATCGCACAACTTCGCATCCACAGCAGATTATGACTATACGCATCTAAAAACTAAAATTTGTGAGCAACAAGTAACACAGTTAGTGATTTATTTCGACGACCAAAAAGAACAAGACCACCGAGCGCAAAGTGCTGGATCTCAAGGAATGACTATCGATTTCTACATTCATTACCCATTTTGCGGCCCAGAACTGCGATGGTATGTCTCTGATGAGATTCCTGTGTTATGTATCCCAAATTAGTGATGCCCCCTCGGTAATCATCAGTAAGCAACTATCCTCCACTGCGCACCACGTTGTGGATTTATAACACATGCACTATGGATGGAACTTCTTTTCAAGGGTTAGGTTATTTGTCCCTTTGGAGTTAGGTAATAATAGTTACTAATTCTAGTCGAGAGAATTTCATGTCTTCTTAGCTGCTATTTTTGAACGGTTATGGAACTATTGCTCCATTTCCTGTAACTCCCGCGAATTCCGACTCAATTAAGTTTGACTTTTGAACGCTTTATGCTCATCCCTGAGAGCATAGCTCATCATGTTGGAGTAATACTTTCTATATAGGTTCCTTTGCCCGATTGCAACCGGTGTATCGAGTGGTTTGCAGTTTCCACACGAATCTATCCTACCCCTGCTTTCGGTCCCACTGATTGATAAACGTATATATGGTGCTACTAAAGACCAAAATAGGAGGTTTATTTCCTGAACTAACAATCGCAAATGAAACTTAATAAAAGATCTTGCAAAAGTGAGAAAACCGCTTTTGCAATTTCGCCTGTGTTACAAATCCTGAAACTTCGAGTGCTCTNTCGAGAGTCCACAAGAATCAAATTTCGCTTCATTTAGGTAGTGATAATTTTCAGATTTCAAATGATCTCCTTATGCAAGCATACATGAAACACTGATTGTTTCTTCCCCTCCGCTCTCCTGCTCCCTTGTTTTGGCATTTACTAAATAGAACACAAGTTGATCCGGAATCGGAAGGAGTTCCGGATAACGTTACTGATGATTTTCCAATTCCAAAATCTGTCCTTGAAACTGTGAGTGTATTCCCGTTGTGCATTGAAATGTGATTATTCTTATTGTGATTGTTATTGCTATAGCTATGAAGCGACGCAGCGTATAAGCTCATCTTCTAGGATAGTGTGAACTCTTGTCACTGATTTTTAAACCGAATAAAGTTTTGCAAACAGTTTTATGTAGTCACCTTTCGTGAGAAACGATACCAAGATCTATTGCCGAGTTGGATGCTCAACCGTTTCAGATTATGGACAGTGTATAGTGTAAGCAAATGGCATAGTATAACTGAATTGATCACAAACTCGGTTTCTACACATCTTCCGGAGGGTGCTATAAGCATGTAAGGACTGCATCGATCGAATATGATATTTTAAGCACAGCGAAGTGTTTCCTAATATACAATCCCGCTTGCGCTTGAAATACTCTCTGAAGACACTTCTACTTATTTTTCTCCTCTAACAGACCACCACTACCATTGCGTTTCAGTGATCACACATTTTTGACTGGTAAATAGAGTTTTCAACTTCGATCGCACCTCATTTGTTTATGTCAATAATACCACTCCTAATTAAACCTGGTAATTAAGATCACAATAATCCAACTAAAACAAACAGGTCTTTGATAATACCATTTGTTTTGAGTTTGAGATGTCCATCATGAGTAGCATGCAAATCACAAAAGAATATCTTATAGTCTTTTTACAATCCGATAAGAACGCTATACCTTTTATTTCTCCATTTTCTCTTCGGCTCTGACCACAACGTTCCCTTATTCTTCTTTATCCAAATGGACGGTCGTGAGACAGCGACTGAAACCGGCACATGGAATTGCATGGATAATGGTTGTAAAAACATAAACTGAACTGATATTTTCCTTTGACAACTTAGCTTTGTGTATTATCTGATGTTGATAATGCTATCTTTGTCTTATTTTTTGTACGAAACAAACTATAGGTTCTCCAATACGGTCTTGTCACATCCACAAGAATGATGTTGCAGACAGCAAACGATAATCCGCAAGTGATTGATGCCATTCAGCCGAGTCATTTCGCATTTCGAGTAAGAAATCTGTTTCCTGCTTCGTTCGCAGTTTCGCTTTGTGAAGGCTCTATCCGTGCAAATTTATAAATAGGTCCTTAGTCTGAATCAGCTGTTTTGTCGTATCTCTTTATTTTTGATCTTAGTAACAATTCAGAAATTGACACAGTGTAAATGAAATAGATCGCTTCTTTACATTCTGAATTTTTCATGTAAACTGAAAAGCTAGAGGAAGCACTAGATAGATGTTTCGACCTGATTGTGTCTTATCAGCAGTGCAACTCCATCGAACCAACTGTTCTCTTCCCTACTCCAACAGGGAAGTGCTGATTAAGTTTTACTCCATCTCAGTTAATCACACTGTTCATCTGTCCAATCTGGAAACAGCACTGGTGTCCCGAGCGTAGCCTGATTAGTATAGACACTTGCATGTAGGTTTACTAATGTTAGACTATTTCTGTTCTAAGTCTATATAGTGTGCAGTATTCAAATGAAATATTACATTATATATATAAATGTAGTTCATCCGTTTTAAATAATCAGCTCAAGTGACCACAACATTCTATACTCAGTGGGATTATTTTATTTTCCACTTTTGACCAAACTCGTGTAGCTTTTTCATTGTTTTTGGAACATTGCAGAATAGATAATAGGCATTTTTACCGTTACTAGTCATATATGTTGAACTCATCTTGAGAAATACGCTGCTATTCTGTTTCTATTTCCTCGGTTGATTATATTGGAAATAATCTTCCTTTTATGAGCATTGTATTTGACGAAGTTTTCCAGTGAACTGATGGGAACCACATGAAATTTAACTGTAACCCTTTCAAATAAAATTCTAAGAATTTCTTTTGATCACAACCAGTTGGGTGGGTGTCCTTCTTTCGTTGTTCCCGATTTGTTCTGTTTCCTGCCAGGTTCTGCTCACCTGTAGGAAGACTCACTGTTAATAACATTTGCTGTGATATGCGATTTTGTGAAATTTTATGGATCATGTCGTAATAAAATACAATCAGCATCCATCATTAGTTATTCGTTTGTCCGTGAGATTTAAATTCTGAGTGGTGGGCAAGGTGTTGTTCCGGAAATGCCACAAGCGAAAGGCGACAGAGCAAAACGCGACATCTTCACACAGAAAAGGATACTGTTGCATGATAATCAGATGTTTTTGGGGAAATTTTCCGGAATAAATCACGTCTTAGGAATAGCTTACTCCAGCTATACTCCAATCATACAAATCACGGCACAAAAACGTTATGGCAAAAAACTTGTTCATCATTTGCTCTTGGGCGAAAAACTTTCAGATAGCGACTGCATAAACGATAGGAGTAGTCATTCTTAGGGGATATTTGACGGGTAAGATAATAGCTCTGTTTTGTGTCAAAAAGTTGAAACCGTAAGCATAGTAAACAATGTGCAAATGTGAAAAGGTAAGATGTGGTGTGGATACTGAAAAACCGACAGAGTGACAGATGTTTAGATGTTAAAGTCCTAAAAGCAGCCTGTCCACTTTGCCGAATCGAACAGCTAACATAAACGAATATCATACGAATTGTTTTTGGCAGATATAATCCTTTTTTTGAAATTGTGAAAAGTTCAGTAACCTCAGTGGGATTCTAACTCGAATATCATTAGATATTTTCGTTTCATCCGGGGCATTATTATTTTTAATTATATTCTTTCTGATCGCCCATTCTGTTTGGCTTGACTTGGATATAATTAAATGATACTGGATACTGGATTTCTTAACAACCGTAATTTTGATTACGTCACATGACCGGCGGTAATTTCACACGGTAGTTGAGCATTAAGAGCATCGGTGATACTTGGAAAGAAGACGAGCACAAGAAAGGTTAAGTACAGTGAGTAAACGAAATCGGTTTCTTAACGGTCTCGCTTAGCTCTGGATTGAGGCCACCTATAATGATCGTAGAGGTAGTAGTAGTGAAATTACGCACAGAATTCAGGACACGAACTACGCAATAGGAATCACGGAACACGAATTAGAATTCCGGTGGCTCTAGACCGCAATGACTCGAACTCTCAATAACCCGCAGGATCGAGACGCGAGGAGAAAGGCCACAAGACAGACGAATCACAAAGTCGTTTATTGAAGGAAATGAAAGTGAATATGTAAGTGCACAAAAGAAGATCATTGGTTACCTTAGTTTTCACCAATCATATTGCATCACATCTTGCGTCATACTGCTCTTCTCCGCATTGTATCTGATTGGCTGGAACGGTCCACCAATGACGTGTATCCGGAGTCTGTGCACGTGCTACTGGCGTCAGCGCTCAAGGTCGATTGACTACCAATGTCCGGAAACTGTACCGCACTGCTCCAGGGCAGGCGTGATCTCGTAGATCCGAATCACCACACCACCCCTCTGTGTTGTTTCTTCTTCGATCTGAATGGATGTTCTGGAACAATGAGGACCACAGAGAGTAGGCCATCTAGTTGATGTATTCGGTGCATTTTTTCAGATAAAGTTTGATGGAGCTCATTCTGTAAATTCATTTACCCGGAAAAATTCAGCTAAAATGGCTTGAAGTTCCACCATCGTTCTATGAGACCCGATTCATGCGAGAAGTGCTTACGAGAAAAAAACCACAACACTTTCGAGGATTGAACTAAATCCCAAAACCTGTGCATGTGAAAAATAATTCAGTATTTATTTTAAAATAGAAAAAATGAAAACAATCTGGATACTCTTCAGCGAATCATGCTAAATAAACTTACAAGAAGCTGTTTCATTGCGGTCAAATCTCACAGTTCGCTCATAATCCTTCCATTTCAGGACAAACTGGATCAAATTTATACCGACTTAGGCGCGGACGATTCGATCGGTGATCCGGTTGTAACATTCTCTAATGTGATTAAGCATCCGGACTATTTGGCATTGATCCTTTCGGCAGCTCCCCGATTTCAGTTGAATTTATTTCCCGATCCGTGGCCCAGTCTGATTCGGATGTGTGCACAACCGGCAGGTTCGAGTAGCTCATCCACTGACTACGATAGTGCGAGCAAAATTTCCCTTTCATAATCACCACAGCCTGGTGGACGAGCTGTTTCGTCTAATGGTTGTTTTGTTTATCACAAGGAAGACGATTCCCGA